GCTCACTCAGAGGGCTGGCCCTCCCAACCTGGAGGAGCGGACCACGCTGTGGTGTCGGAAACATTCGTCCTCAGTTTTTGCCTTCGTCACCCCTAAATTTGTCCGTTTTACGTGCTTTATGATTGCCATGCTAATTGTAAAGTTTTAAAGTGACCAGAGTTAATCCTTAAGTGTTGGACGATCCCATTTTATCCTCTATCATTTTGCAATTAGATTTGATTAATTTTTGTATCAAAATACTTTCTAATAGTTTTAGACCTTGAAGATAAGTTTCAGTACCGTATATGGGAGCAAATTCAAACAGGTTCACACACGCCTGCAAGAAACACTGCCAAAAAGCTTAAGATATTCTGCAGAAAAGGAGGAACAAAACCGCCTCCAGGACGTGAAGAGAGGAAGTGTGTGTTGAACGAGGCTCCTCCACGTGCAGTGTCGGTGATCGTCGTGTGAGAACGTCGTTTACGCTAAACGAGAACCCGTGAAACTCGTTTTTTAAGTGTATTTGAGACGACAGCTCGTGTTGATTAGTACAACATTTTGTCGGGAGGGAAATAACCGTATGAAAGCTACACGGTTCTTGTAAGATTATCTACAGTGTCTCGTCTGTTTGACGACAACCATTACCTCCTCGCGGGAAACTAGCCACACCACGCAACAAGTTTCCCAAAGAGGTCTTAAGAAGCAGTGTTACGAAGCAAGGTTCGTCACCCTTGACCATTGTCTTGGCACGAAGCCTTCTGCTTGGAAAGCTTATGTGTCGCTTGTTAAAAATATAATTAAAAACAAATGACGCAGAGATAAAAAGTTAAATAATTAAGTTGTTGAAGATTTAAAAACTCTCTACCTCGAAAATCTGATTTGAAGAAAAAGAATCTAAATTGATTGGTATCGAGTATATACAAAGCCGAAGAAAAGTCTTCAATTTCCACAATAATATTTATATTTGAAAATTTGCTTAAAGTGGAATATCTAATTCTCCTATAATACTTCGCCTAATTATATAATTAAGTTTAAAAATATTACATCAACAAAAATAATATAGCGTGTTTTAAAATTTGATTTCCACTGACCTCTCAGATCAGCAAGTGTACTCCGTCAGTCAGTCAGTCATTACCACTCTGTCATTAGTCATTACCACTCTGTCATTAGTCATTACCCACAAGACACCTGGTGATCTAGGCAAGCTGGTGACTCTAGCAGCACCTCTGCTGTTTCTAGCAGCACCTCTGCTGTTTCTAGCAGCACCTCTGCTGTTTCTAGCAGCCGGTTTTGTGACCCTGGCGCTGTACTGCCACTGGCGTCCTCCGCTCCTCTTCCTGAAGTACACATTACCGTTCCGGGTTTTGTTCACACTGATGGGAAGGCATTTCAGAGAACCTCCAGTATACAGTGTGCTGGCAAGAATTCATTTAACGAATAGAGAATAAAATTTAATAAATATATATAATGAACTTATGAGCAAGAGACATACAGTATCGTCTATCAAACTATATAAGGAACATGATAACCATTGCAGTATATATCCTATATGATATACGGTTTCAGTGACCAAAGAAAACGGTCCCTTGATTATATATACAAGCCTTCTAGCAAGGAACTAATTTATTTGTACAGTATTATGATTCTGTATAAAAATTGATAAACTCATTTTGTTTGGACACGTTTCCAAAGAAAGTCTTTCAGTTTCCCTACAACTGTTTGCAGGCATTATATTATCTCATTTCTATTCAATAAACTTGTGAAAAATTGTTTAATATCTGAATATTTAAACAATATAAAAATATTTCAGCATTCATATGGAAGTGTTGTGAAGACTGTACTGTCTAAATATATAGTTTATCATCAAGTAAAAAACTTTTTGTATCGCATATATTTTTATGCCAGAGCGACGCCCAGCTTTGTGACAGGCAAATCATTGCTTGAAGGTCGTAGCAGCTTTCATATTGACACGTAACGACTAGTGACTTGCATGAATGTGTAAACAGCTAGTTGGAGGTCATTAACAAGCCGTGGTTGCGGTTAGTGCACGCGACGCCGTATCAGCGACTACCCTACTTTTTCGTGAGTCCCCTATTGATTGCCACCAGGATAAAGAGGTCAGTAGTCCACAGTCTTAGCCCTCCCTTCCTCCAACCCCCACTGGTCGATACTAGCACCTTTCTCGTCTACCTCATTCTCCAGCTCTTAATTATTTTCTTGTCGAAGTGCATTATGTACTAAAGGCTGTAAAGACTGAACAGTATTACATTGCCAATATTTATTTATTGTGTTAGATTAGTGTGAAGTAAATAATGCTTGCGTGCATGTCAACTGAAAAGTCATCAGACTTGGTACCGACTTGTGTGTCCGAATCTAAACTCTGAATCTAATCCAAGGTGAAAAGGGATATTATCAAGCAAGAGAAAGCAATATTACTTGCGAGTGTTTGACGCAGGGAGAGGTAACAGCAACACAAATTGCTTGTGGGTTATCGAGCGGCCGGACGAGGATCAATTGACCTGGAGTTAAGGTGGCGTCACAGGGGTCAAGCAAGGCGTATCTAGGACAAGCCGCAGGTCGTGTGGGATCAATCAGCACGGACCCTGTGCTCCTGACGGAGGCCCCAGTCAGTCTTCTCTCAACTGATCAGCGACATAAAGTCGTCGGGAGTTCTGATTATATTAATCAATGTGACAAGGGATCACCACTAATCTAGTCTATAAAGCTTTACTTATCTTGTAAAGTACGAAGAAATATAACCAACAAGAGCTCTTGTAGTGGCTTTTAATCTACCACATCCTTAAATAATGTAGGTGGTAGCAGCCACGACATTTACCAATTTCACGAATTCTAGTCCGTATTGGAAGCTATTTCAAACGTCACTCTGTTTATTAGAAGATATTCCAAAGCTTACTTCATTCATAGAAGACGATTCCACCCAGTCACTCACAACGACAGAAGATCATTTTCAAATTATTTCGATAAGTGGCAAAACTCTTCAGTCGGTTTGGCCTAGAGAAGACAACTATTGACGAAATTCATCTAGCTGCGCGAGCATCACCACTAGCCGGTTTCATCCACAAGAAAAAACATTTGGATACCATCTGTAACTAGTTAGGTCATCAAATATATTCATTCGCCGGATACCTATTTCCAACGTGTTTCCTGTAAAAGAAAAATACGTTCATCACCCACCTACTCCCAGTGGCACTAAACCTCATCCAGACTTATTCACGGGCGACATCCATCACGTTGCATCCACAGAAGACATAATCTCTCATCCAGACAAGATACCTTTCGAGCCTCTTCCACCTGCCCCTCCCCTCCCTGGGGACCAGAGTCAGGTTGAATCACTCTACTGGTCACTCACTGGTGTGTGAGCAGAGGACTGTCAATCGCTAATTATAATACAGAGATTTAATACTTAATTAGTTGCAGCTCACACTATCTCCGCATAGTTGCACGAGAGAGCAAACAAGAATTCCTCATCTCTTTCAAGATCCCATCCTGATTTTAAATAATATATTACCCAAAAATTCGCGTAACATTCCAATTTTATTAATATTATTGCCGAGTTAATAATTACAAAGGATCCGCGGAGGAATCCCTCGCACAGATTGCGTGGGGCCGTGCTGGAGCGTGGGACAGCGGCGTAAATCCGAGGAGAATCCCTCGTGGCAAGACGTCCTGTGTTGTCACGCATCCCACGACCTATATAAGACTAGCAGGGGGTGTGGCTGCCCACTCAGGTCACGGCTGCCCCAGACAACGGTCCTCCTGCAAGCTTCAGGCACCAGGCTACTCCTAAACCAGCTGTGTGCCCCTCACAACCAGCTGTGTGCCCCTCACAACCAGCTGTGTGCCCCTCACAACCAGCTGTGTGCCCCTCACAACCAGCTGTGTGGCCCCTCACAACCAACTGTGAACCCTCAGTTGTTCAAACTTTGCTGAGATCTGCACAATAAAAATCGTCTAAACAGTACAACCAGTGCCTTTTATATATTAGATTATATAACAAAGACAAAACTAATTTTCTTAATTTGGCAAATACAAAAATTTAATGTTTTATAGAACTATATATTTTCACATAGAAATTGGATTCTAAGAGGTAATCGGCAGCGTTATATAACAGTGAATTGCGTACAGTATCTTGAGTGACGGTGACAGCGTGGAAGTGATACAGGACAGAGCAAGACCTGACGTGCTGTGAGCAGCACCTCGCATCAACAGTCGAGGAGTCGACGGTGTTCGGATTAAAAACAAGAAAAATAATTTATTTGAAGAATATCTAACGAGAAAATTGGACAATTGACATTTATATGCAGCAATTGTGTTAAATACAGTAAATTAATAATAATACATACATAATATAAAGGACCACAAGCCACACATGGTTTACCTGGCATGACCTTGGCCATTCATAGTGGTGAGAGTGGTCTAAATCCGTGTAAGGCGTCAAGGGGGTGCCCTAACCCCCCCTCCATTCCTAGGCTCCTCCAGACGGCAAAACAAACACACACACGCACCTCCCTCACCGCCACCGGCAGCCACCTCCACCTTGCTGACTACGCGAGAGCTGGGGCGGGGGACGACGAGGTGAGCCACAGCCGAACACCTCAGTCCAACGTTTGCCCCCACGGCCAGGGGTTGTGGCTCAGTGTCGGGGCCAACCCACAACGTTTATCAAACGTTCCCACCATTCAAGGACTACCACCACGTGGGGTGTTTGTATACTGTCGCGTGGGCCATTAACTGCGGCGTCCGTGTGTGAGAGATACGGTGTACACTACTAACAAGATTTATCAAGTTGTTATATTTATGACTGAAAGCCAAAGAATAGTTTGTATGTATTTATATTTATAGACGACGGGATCGTCAACTTGTTATAGCTATTGGTGTTTTATACTGCACGTTGATAGTAAAAATTTTTGGGGTTGATTTTCGAAGGAAAGAGAGTCGAAGGAACGATATCTTGTGGCCCGTTGTAGAGAGTTGGTATTGAAACTCCTTGTTATTACCAGGGTCGGGTCAGGAGGCGCACACAACACTTGTCTCAAGTCATTCTGACAGCTCTCAGAAGCGAGAGTAGGAATTAGAATTGACGGGGCCAGAGGACTATAGTTCTTAAATTGGACGTCACAGGTTGTTTGCGCCGGCAAGATGGTACTACAGAACCTCAAGCTGTACCGCCTCCAGAGGCTAAACACCTTTCAGCGTCTGAACTTCATGGCCATACAGGATCCAATCCCCGAACACAAAGAAAGGTAGGTACTGCTAATTATTGTTCATTTGAAATTGAAATTTGTATTAGGATATTAGTTTGTATCTGCTAATTCAATATCTTAATTTGCAGTCAATATATATTAATCCATAGCCTAATATATATTTGTTATCTTCGTGTTTAACTTTAAACGTCGGCTGATATCTGTGTGTTGGTAACAGTAAGATTTGATCGGCAATGGTTATCATTGATAGGAATTTCTTGATCATTTGCCGCACGTGTCTTAGTCAATACGTTTTTATCAGTTTTCTTATTTTAACACCGTAAAGATTGAAGTGATTTAGTGCTTTACCACTGAGCCACGGGGCCAAGTTCTTCAGACATCTTCAGTTGACTGAAGTAACTATTAGTAGCATATGGTTGTTTGATAAATATAATACACGGGAAATTAATAGCCTGTATGAATACATAAATTTGCATGTGTTAAAATAAATGCTAGGCTTGCTGGGTTCCTGGCTCATGTTCGCTGTACGAGGCAACGCAGCCTCGGAGCTATAGAAACTCCTGTTTATTGTTTTCACTGCACTTATAATCTGGCATGTACTGTGTAACTAGTCTAGTTAAATAGCCATGGTATTAGTAATCTTCTCATGGGTTATGTTGTTGTCTGTCCTCGGGACCTTGGGTAAACACCCACATCCCTGCCCTACTCAACCACGGGCGTGGTCAGGTTGTACTGAGGCGTTTTTACTAGGCTTGATTTTTACTTATCAATCCGTGTGGATCGCTAGGTTAGGCAGTGTCAGGTTCGGTTAGATAAGGTAGGATGGCAGGCCAATGTGAGAAGGAATCCACAACATTTTTGTATTTACCCTCTTGCTAAGTATTCTTATATATCTATGTCTAGCTTCCAAGACGAGCACGTTATTACTTGAATGCAAACTGTTTATTGCTCGTAGTGAAGAAAGGTTGTAAGTTGACGCCCTTGCTAAGGTTGCAGTAAATAAAGACAGTATTGAACGGAATCTTCAGTTATCAAATAGGTCTCTTAAAAGTGTCATTAGACGAGAACTCCTGGATGGATTTGAAGAAAGTAGAAAGGTCCCTCTGTAATGCTTTTTGCGCTACCGCTCACAGGATGGGTATGGGGTGCACAATAAAATAGCCGCCTCCTGCGGCAACAATCAAAATCAGGTAGGATGGGTTGTAAAATATTAGTGAATCGTCTAGTATACGATGTGACTTGTATCCTAAAAGGGCGAAGGGATGACCTTAATGTTGCTAACCTTGTCGTGGACTACATTCTGCCAGCATATTAATACCTTGGTAAAGTGTTGGATGTGAAGTACAACGGTCGCTAGGGTTGTGATTTAGTAGTGATGCTTACTCGGGTAGACTAAAACAGAGCCTCTCCTTGGCACTTGAACTGATTTAGTCTTAAATTTGCAATTCTACCGTTACATCCTCGTCTTCTCCCTTACATCTAGACTATGTAATCTTCCACTCGATACTAATTTTCCCTTGATTAGATTTTCATCTTTGCCGTTACTACGGCCACAGGATAATGTTCGGGTGGAATGTCCCCTCCGCCCTCGTCATTTACCTTTAGTATGGAAGCATGCTGGTCATGCTGTTACTGTTATGTTGTATACTTGCATGGTGTAATGGCTGACGCCGTTAATATAGTTCAACTTCAATACACTACAATCCTCCGTAGCCTACCATCTGCATACTGCTACCATCTTTACACTATCTTCCCACACTCATCGTTGTCCAAGATGTCATCATTTCGGCAATTACTGCTGTCATTATCAGCAATTCTCCCTGCCACTTTTTCCAAAGTCTTGGAGTACGAACAGGGGAAGAGCGCCTTCCCCTGTTAAGGCGCATGCGTGAGAGCGCGCGCGAGAAGTACTAATCAAGAGACACTAAGAGCCTTATTATAACCTGCTCCTTTCCACAATTATGTTGCAACGACCTACGGAATTATTCCCAGGTACCTGGATGGTGGGCTCTCCTCGTGTGCTCCTCTCCTCGATTGGCACAAGGACCATAATTGATGATCATTCATCTTGAAGTAAAATAGAAAATGAAATGACTTTTTATTTCTACCAGTTAAGGAGATTGGTTCAGTCGTATACACTTAAAGTTTTATCATGACTGGAGAACATGATATCGTTCTCCGATCTTTCAACCATTCTGGTTATCTACAACTGAAAGTTCTGTTCTTTACCTGTTATGGTGATATCGATCTAGAATTCTTGATTCTCATGGGTTTGAATCGTTACATATTACCTTTTAATGAACGGATAAGAATGCTGCTTGGCGTATTTCGTTCTTAACTGCGGCTTGTAGGTTATTAAGTGTTGTACGAGTGTTTCTCCTCTAGTGAACTGGAAAAGGCTGAGGTCAAGAGCGGCAAGTTTTTAATGAACCTGTGTGTATGTTTAATTTTTTTTTCTCGTGGTTGTGGATGCTGGTTTGAGATACTAGGCTATACTGGTATATATCGTTATTAGTTTGTAATTAGCTAAAGCTTGTATTGTGATTATCGTAATGTTTAATATAACTTGCAACTTCAGTATATTTAGTATCTAGAGTGCACAAGTCCACCACGGGCTCGCCATATGCCCGTGACACTTGGAACTTTTGTTCAGAGTAGATGAATCTAAATCATCATCTAGTGCACTACGAGGCTATTGAAAATGAAATCCATAAACGTTAAATTATTGTTGAACAGTGCAACATTTTCAGGTCCCGACAGGTTAAAATGTTTTCTGGTCCAAACAAAATTGGCAATTATTGGAATGTCCTTCGAGGACATGGTTCCCAGTGGTCTGAATGTCCGGTTTGTAGGGCGATGACACACTTAGGAATGAAGGGGAAGAAAATATCCAGTACATGTGAGTTTATTATTTATACACTACGGTATTGTAGCACGTTCCTCCACTCGTGGGAATAATAATTGATGATCATGGATCTTGAAGTAAAATAGAAAAAGAAATGCCCTTTTATTTCTACCAGTTAAGAACATTGGTTCTGCTGTATATATTTAATGTTTTTGCGAGGCATACTTGTCCTAAAATTAGCTGTAGATAAGGCACCCATTTATATTTAAAAACTTTATATTAGAAACTATTACTTTAAATTTACTTTACTACGAACCCTATTCACCTTTGTAATAGTGTGAAAAAAAAAAGAGGCATGATAAGTGTTATGGAAAACTGAGCTTTGCATCGGTAAGACATAAGGTCTGTTTTGCGGAGAAATGAAGAGCTCTCCAGAGCCCTGCCACCCGCGATCCTTAACTAGAAAGTGAATTTGAGGCACAAAGGTCACACGACGCAGAGTGCCTCCACAGCACCAGAAGTCTGTCTGAAATATTAGGCTGATGTGTGGAGTAATTACACAAAGCTGCCAAGTATATTGAGATGATGACGGTGGAAATTGTCAAGGAGAATATTTTAATTTTTTGGGGGTCTAATACCTCAACTTCAACAGGCATCGTTCGTAAATACCTAATACTTAATTTATTAATCAGGGTCTAGTTTACTTAGCACAAATACAATGGTCGAGTTACGTCTTGACTAAGTTCAGAGTTACGTCTTGACTTGGTTCAGTAGCCTGACTACTGATTTGACTTACGAGAGTTACGTCTTGACTAAGTTCAGTAGCCTCGTGGGGGCGTGAAGTGTATGTTTACTTATTGCCTGTTGTCGTTATCGTAGATCAGGCTGTGTGATGCTTCTTGCTCGGTAGCCTGGTTGGAGTTCAGTAGCCTGGTGCGTGAGAACAGTGTTTGTTCATTGCACGCTGTTTGATTATGAACATTTTAGAGAAATTGACGTTTCAATCAATAGGGTTGTGTTTAATGATCGTTCAGGATAATAAATTACTGAATAGTAATTAGTCTAGCGTAATTAAGGACATAATGGCAATGTTGGTATAAATATGGGAACGTGGGGCAAGTCTATTTCAATATCCTTCGCTGTTCAGAAATATTTGTTATACGTTTGAACAAATTTAGATAGTTTGTATCCTTAAATGAAACCTTGTCAAACTTTTTTTCTTGGGAGATAGAGAGAGGGGGAACGGAGAGGAAGGGGGAGAGGGGGAGGGGGAACGGAGAGGAAGGGGGAGAGAGGGGGAGGGGGAACGGACGGGAGGGAGGGGTAGGAGGTGGGTTGGTTGGTTGGGTTGGGGGGTATGATTGTGAAGGTGGGGTGATGGGAAGGGATTCGAAGGTGGAGTGAGGGGAAGAGGAGGGGACGCGAAGATAGGGGATGGTGGTAGATGTGAAGGGGAAGGTTCGCTGGCATTATCAACGTATATATATAATTTTGATTTTTAATTTTTGTAATAGTCTTTTTCATGCGTGGTTTTCTTGTCGTAGAGTGCTTTGTGCTCTCTTTGAACAATTGCTTACCAATAGTTTTTTCTACAACCTGCATGTATTTACCTGCGGGGAATACAACTTCGTTTTGTTGATAGGCAAGTGTGTGCATCTTTGTCCGTCTCCTGTCTGTTGGTGACGACCCAGTGTATGGAAATGCTCCCTCGTCTGTGTTCATGCTGGCACTGTCAAGCTGGTATAATGTGTACGTGAAACAGTTGACCAGACCAGTGGTCGCGGGAAGTATAGAAGCCTCGTCGTGTCAACAACCAGAGGCAGGCACGGGAGAACATGCAGGCAATGCTGTATAGAAGGAAGTGTGGCCAGTCTCCACTGGCGTGGTGGTAAAATGCGTTCCACCAATCGTTTGGTCTACGTTAGTCCTCGCCAGGGTGGATTGACTGGGCACAAATCCTTAACTGTTCGCCGCTCCTTCACCCAATAGTAATTGGGTACCTGGTTGTTAACCAGGTAGGGAAAAGACTTACCATTAAGGGACGGGAAAGCTCTCAACCTGCTGAATGGAGATTGAAGTATCAACCTGTGTAAAGAAAAGGTATGTATATATGTACACGTAGAATGTTTACGGGCTGCTGGGAGGACTACACACGGAGGTCGAGTTGAAATAAGTTTGAGATAAATACTCACAA